CACACTACCTGAGCAGCTCCCCTCACCTCCTATAACCCACACTACCTGAGAAGCACACTCACCATAGCTCCCTAGATCTCCTATAACACACACTACCTGAGCAGCAAACTCACTACAGCTCCCCACACCTCCTAGAGCACACACTACCTGAGCAGCACGCTCACTGCAGCTCCCCACACCTCCTATAACCCACACTACCTGAGCAGCACGCTCACCGCAGCTCCCCACACCACCTATAACACACACTACCTGAGCAGCACACTCACTGCAGCTCCCTACACCTCCTATAACACACACTACCTGAGCAGCACGCTCACTGCAGCTCCCCACACCTCATATAACTCACACAACCTGAGCAGCATGTTCGCTGAAGCTTCCCACTCCTCCTATAACCCACACTACCTGAGCAGCACGCTCACTGTAGCTCCCCACACCTCCTATAACCCGCACTACCTGAGCAGCACACTCAATGCTGCTTCCTACACCTCCTATAACTCACACTATCTTAGCAGCATGCTCAATCCCACTCCACACATCTCCTATAACTCACATTACCTCAGCAAAACACAGCATTGAGATACAGCATTGAGATACACTGAGATACATCATTAAGATACATTGGGATACATTATCGAGATACAGCATCGAGATACATCACTCAGATGCATCATTGAGATACAGTATTGAGATACATCATCGAGATACAGTATTAAGATTCAGCATCGAGATATATTGAGCTACATCATTGAGATACAGCATTGAGATACATCACTCAGATACAGTATTAAGATACAGCATTGAGATATATTGAGATACAGCATTAAGATACAGTTTTGAGATACAGCATTGAGATACATAATCGAGATACAGCATGAAGGTACAGCATTGAGATACAGCTTTGAGGTACAGCATTGAGATACAGCATTAAGATACATCATTGAGATACATCATTGAGATACAGCATCTAGATACATCACTGAGATGCAGCATCAAGCTACATCATTGAGATAGATCATTGAAATATATTGAGATAAAGCATTGAGATACACCAGTGAGCTAAGGCATTGAGATACAGCATTGAGATAAATAATTGAAATACATAATTGAGATACATCATTGAGCTATATCATTGAGATACAGCATCGAGATAAGGCATTGAGATGCATCATTGAGACACAGCATTGAGATACATCATTGAGATACAGCATCAAGATACAGCATTGAGATACAGCATTAAGATACATCATTGAGATACAGCATTGAGATACAACCTTGAGATACAGCATTGAGTTACATTATCGAGATACATCATTGAGATACATCATTGAGATACATCATTGAGATACATTGAGATACATCATTGAGATACAACTTTGAGATCCAGCATTGAGTTTCATTATCGAGACACAGCATTGAGATACAACATTGAGATCCAGCATTAAGATACAGTTTTGAGATACAGCATTGAGATACATCATGGAGATACAGCATGAAGGTACAGCATTGAGATACAGCGCCAAAACACAGCATCGAGATACATAATTGAACTACATCATTGGAGTACGTCATTGTTTTACATCATTGAAATACTTTGAGATACAGCATTGAGATACAGCATTGAGATACAGCATCAAGACACAGCATTGAGCCACAGCATTGAGATACATTGAGATACAGCATCGAGATACATCATTGAGACACAGCATTCAGATACAGCATTGACATACAGCATTGAGATACATTAGTAAGATACAGCAGTGAGATACATGATCAAGATGCATCATTGAGATACATCATCAAGATACATCATTGAGATACAGCATCGAGATACATCATTGAGATACAGCATTGAGATACAGCATCGAGATACAGCATTAAGATACATCATTGAGATACAGCATCCAGATACATCAACTAGATACATCATCGAGATACATCATCGAGATACAGCATTGAGAAACAACATTGAGATACATACTTAAGATACAGCATCGTGATACAGCATCGAGACACAGTATTAAGAAACATCATTGAGATACATGATTGAGATACTTTGAGATACAGCATTGAGATACATCACTGAGATACAGCATTGAGATACATCATTGAGATAGAGCATCAAGATACATCATGGAGATACACCTTTGAGGTACAGCATTGAGATACGTCATTAAGATACAGCATTGAGATACAGCATCAAGATACATCATTGAGATACATAATTGAGATACAGCATCTAGATACATCACTGAGATGCAGCATCCAGCTACATCATTGAGATAGATCATTGAAATATATTGAGATAAAGCATTGAGATACAGCAGTGAGAAAAGGCATTGAGATACAGCATTGAGATAAATAATTGAAAAACATCATTGAGCTATATCATTGAGATACAGCATCGAGATAAGGCATTGAGATGCATCATTGAGACACAGCATTGAGATACATCATTGAGATACAGCATCACGATACAGCATTGAGATGCAGCATTAAGATACATCATTGAGATACCGCATCGAGATACAGCATTGAGATACATCATTAAGATACAGCATTGAGATACAGCATTGAGATACATCATTAAGATACAGCATCGTGATACAGCCTCAAGACACAGCATTTAGATACATCATTGCGATACATCATTGAGATACATTGAGATACATCATTGAGATACAGCATTGAGATACAGCATCAAAACACAGCATTGAGATACATCATTGAGATACAGCATTGAGATAAATTGAGATACAGTATTCAGATACAGCATTCAGATACATCACTGAGATTCATTGATATACAGCATCGATATACATCATTGAGATATATTGAGATACATCATTGAGATACAGCATTGAGATGCAGCTTTGAGATACAGCATTGAGATACATCATTGAGATACAGCATTGAGATGCAGCTTTGAGATACAGCATTGAGATACATTGATATACAGCATTGAGATACAGCATTGAGACACAGCATTGAGATGCATTGAGATACAACATTGAGATACAGCATTTAGATACATTAAGATATAGCACTGAGATACAGCATAGAGCTACATTGAGACACATTGAGATGCAGCATTCATATGCAGCAATGAGACACAGTATTGAGATAAAGCATTGAGATACATTGAGACACAGCATTGAGATACATTGAGATACAGCATTGAGATACATCATCAAGATACATCATTGAGATACAACATTAAGATACAGCATTGGGATACATTGAGATACAGCATTAAGATACATTGATGTGAAAAACGCCCTGTGGTCTGGTCGTTTGCCATTAGCTCCCGGAGGAGCCTGCAAGCCAGCCTCCTGCCCCAGGTTTATGGGCCATACAAAATACCCTGCAAAGTACTCTGTTAATGTGATTTGGGGCTATGTTGTTCGGGAACTGAACAACCACATGAACGAGAGACTACCCAGGAGCTTGTTAAAGGACCACTATAGTGCCAGGAAAACATACTCGTTTTCCTGGCACTAAAGGGCCCTGAGGGTGCCCCCACCCTCAGGGTCCCCCTCCCGCCCGGCTCTGGAAAGGGGAAAGTGGTTTAAACTTACCTTTTTCCAGCGCTGGGCGAGGAGCTCTCCTCCTTCTCTCCTCCTCCGTTCTGCCCCGTTGGCTGAATGCGCACAATGCTTTCCTATGGAAATCACAGTGAGAAGCACGCAAGCGCCTCTAGTGGCTGTCAATGAGACAGCCACTAGAGGCTTTGGGGGAAGGCTTAACCCATTCTCTGAAACTGCTATGTTTATTAAAAAATGGGTTAACCCTAGCTGGGCCTGGCACCCAGACCACTTCATTAAGCTGAAGTGGTCTGGGTGCCTACAGTGGTCCTTTAAGCCCAATTGACACCTTGTTACTAGTTCCACCACAGTATTCTAATTGTTCGTCTGGGTGGCCGCAATTTGTATGAGCGACCACAAGGTGGCGGACATTTTGCTCGCATGAACGCAGGCAGTGGTGTTTGGTCGTCGAGTTCATGGTACTAAAATCGGACACGGAAACTCCAGAAAACCGCTGGACTTCCATCATCGCCTGCATTTGGGTCTATGCAACCTAGCAGGGGTCTGTTCTGTGGAAATGTTCCCACGAACAAGGTGAACAAGATCCAGAGTTGAACTATGGAATACGTTCGGTAGTTTGTTTTTTAACTATCGAACTTGACCAACCATTAGCACTGATTTCATGGAACTGTTTTGGGCATAGGACCAACATTATGACTTCCATGGAAATCCCGAACCCCTGAAACAATCTGGGTGATATTTGGATATGTTTGTAGCGGAGCTGCAATATTAAATCCCAATATCTCCGCTGGTACAGAATGTAATACAAGTAAAGCGCTGAAAATGAAGGTAATATCCCAAATCCCCCAGTAACCGGACGAAACACAGTTCTGGGAGTCAACTGACGATTTTATTCACAAGCTCCAGTATTTATGTGATTCCCCATGCAAGGGGTTTCCTTAGTCACTTTACAGGGGTTGTACAGTAGAGGACTACATGGGGAACTGAACCTGCAGGACATTTCTCCCACCATGCACTGCTGTACAAGAGGGATACTCCCACAAGAATATCTTGTTATGTGAATTATCCCTCCGTACAGCAGAACCGGCTTTCCACACAAAAATATGTAACTTATACTTTATTCGTGCCATTGTACCGAATGACCGTTCGGCAGATAGCTGGGGTCTGAGCACACACTTTGGGAACATACCGCTCAGATCCCAGCATAAATAACTGAACGCCGCACGAAATACATTTTACCACCAACTTTTCAGAAAGTCACGAATACATAGGTTGGAAGAAAGTACCGAAAGACCGGCGCTCCCCAACGGCCTGGAAGTCCAGCCGTGTTCGCGCCGTCGAGTAGCCGATTTTAGTTC